AGAGGTGTGCCACGAGCGCGCCCGTTCTGATCTAGGACGCTCCACGATGGTCCTCGCCGGGAGCGAATGCGCACGCCCGTGCGATGCCAAGCGCACGTCGCCCGACTGCTCGACATCAACACGACTGGGGAGGACCGCGCAACCTCAGATGCCCTTTCGGTTAGGTCGGGCGTGCCCTCCTACAGGCGGATTTCGGGAGAACCGCCAAAAATACGAAAACGTATGCGAAGATAGTCAAATGAGCACGAACCCCGTCCCCAGACTATTTCTGAAGGCTGCTCTTGAGTCTTGCCTCCTGCAGAAGGACATGCCCGACCGAAGCCCACGGCAAAAATGATCGAAAGAGCACGAACATCGCCCCCACACTATTCTTGAGACCATTCTTGACGACTCCCCCTGCAGAAGGACATGCCCGACTGAAACCCACGGCAAAAAATCATTAAAATCGCAGGAAGATCGCCCTCGGACTATTTTTCAGACTATCCTTGAATCTTGCCTCCTGCAGGTGGACGTGCCCGACTGAAGCTCACGGCAGGGGACTGCATCCCATTCGGCAGCGCAGAGCACATCCAGGACGACCCCTCAACGGAGGATGAGGAGGAGGAGGAGGAGGAGGAGGAGGAGGAGGAGGGGAAGGAGGAGGAGGAGGAGGAGGAGGAGGAAGAGGAGGAGATCGCCGATGGAGAGTGGAGGTCGAGGAGGAGGGAGGGAGGGAGGGGAGGGAGGGCGGGAGGGAGGTGAGGGGAGAGGGAGGAGGTAGGGGAGGGGAGGGGAGGATGAGGTAAGTAGGAGAGGGGAGTGGGGAGTGTAGGTATGATGAGGTCAGGGGATCGGAGGTTATGTGCGTCGCCGCGAGACTTGAGAGGCGCGACCCAGACCGCAGTGAGGCGATGGCGGAGGAGGATAGGCGGCGGAGGAGATACAGGAGGCGGTCGGCAGGAGGAGGAGTGAGTGAGGAGGAGCAAGTTCGGACACGCGTGCCTCGGCCTTCTGTCGAGCCCAGGGGCCCACCCCGCGCCGAGCGCGCCCTCTGCCCCGGGAGAGCGCCTTGCGGCTCCCTCGAGGGCGTGGGCCGCCCTCGACGCCGGACGCGCACTCGGGCCGCACGGTGGAGCCCCACCCCCCGAGCGCCCGCGGCGCTGTCGCCGCCGAGCCGGTGCGACGCGAACTCGCCGTGCAAGACAGGCCCGAACTCACATGATCTGCCGCCCCCCCCAAAAATTTGGACGCCCGAAATCCCAGAGACCCAACGTAGTGAAAAAATCAAGACGTAGGTTTTTCATATTTTTCGGCCTCGAGGGGCCCTCGCCGGGTCCCGGGACTGTCAAAAAATGATTCAGGATGAAAAACCGGTCCTGGAGAATGGGTCGAGACTTCCAGGGACCCCGTATTGAAAAAAACACGACATCGGATCTCTGGGATGGGTACGGAAAAATTGGGTACAATGCCCAACAACAAATGTTGTCCCAAACCGACAGCGGCCGCTGTTGGGCAGGCGGCCTCCTCTCAAATGGACACAGGCCGCGGCTGCGCGGACAGCGAGTCCTGTTCAAAATGAACAGGAACTGCTGCTGGGCATTCTACCCATTCGTTCTGTACCCATTTCGTGCGTGCAGAATAAAGGAAGGGCACTTTTTTGGGATGCTTTCCGACGGACGAGGCGGGCTGGCCAGAGGTTCTTGGTCGAGGGGCCCGAGGGAGTCACCGTACCCTGCTCCCGGCGCCCCCCCCCCCCCAAGAAAGGACACTGGATTCCTGACGGACGAATCGGGCTGGCGAGGTGCTTGGTCGGGGGGCCCGGGGGGTCAACCGCACCCTGCTTCCAGCGACCGCTGGGCGACCGCTGGGCGATCGGAGGAGCGGGCCAAGGAGAGGTGCAGCGTGGCCTCCTGCGCGGGGCGGCACCGCACTTCCTGATACGAAATGGACAGTAGATGATGCATTCGCATGGGCCTCGTATATCCATAGACAACAGCCCGAGGAAACAAGCCTGGGTATCCTGAGCTCGTCTCCTGCAGCACGTGGCAGAAAAAGTATGGAACCCGAGTGAGACCCAGAGATCCGATGTCGTGATTTTTTCAATACGGGGTCCCCTGAAGTCTCGACCCATTCCCCAGGACAGGTTTTTCATCCTGAGTCCTTCTGTTGGCGGTCCCGAGGCCCGGCGAGGGCCCCTCGAGGCCGAAACATAGGAAAAACCTCCGTCTGTTTTTTTCAACACGTTGGAAAGAGGAGGGCGAGGAGGGAGACGGGGCAGCCTGACGGCCCAGAACGGCTGTTGCGCGCACCGGCGGCTCACAGCCCTGGACAAAAAGCGCACAAGTAAAAAGCACCGGCGCACCACCGCAGCGCCATCGCGCGTTGATTCTTCCGAGCCCCAGACGTTGGCGCACCCTTCCGAGGACCGAGCGTGCGCATAGGCCTGCCTCGGACTTCACCATGCAAGGGCGGTGGTCTGCTTTTCTGGGGGGTCTTCCTTGAGCTATCCCAGAGACTTCCCGTGGGCCCTGGGCACAATGCCGCCCTCGCATGGCTGGTCTGAGGGGGGGTCTGAAACTACTGCTCGTCTGGGAGTGTGGTGACCCCCTCCCTTCGATTACAGTTACAATCGGAGTACCTGCGTGCGCCTGTGCTGACGATGGCTGCTCCGCTGCGCACAGGCAAAGTCTCCGGCACCTCTGGAGCTGCGCGCGGGCCGGCCGAGTCCGGGGCGCCCCCCGGGGTGGGCCCCTGCACGCGGTGATGGCATCGGAGAAGGAGACCTCCGAGCGGGAAGCCCGGGCCTGGAAGCTGGTGGAGCTCCCCCCGTGGATCGGCCCTGGATACGGCGGCCTCCTGGCTGGGGTCCGAGCAGACGGGGTCGGAGGATCGCGCCGCGTCGCCGATGCATCGCCGACGCATCGGCGATGCATCATCGCCGGCGTCGGCGGTACATCGGCGGCGTCGGCGCGGAGAAACTCGGGCTCCGCACCGAGCCGCGCCCCCGAGGCTCCGCCAGCGCATCGCCGACGCAGCGCCGATGCGGCGCGACCCTCCGACCCCATCGACTCCGGCCCCATCCAGGAGGCCTGGACTCAGTGGGCCCCGGAACAGGGCAGGGCCGTGTTGTCACCGTTTCCGGAAAAAAGTGCCCCTTGAAAACGGAAACGGCAAAGAAACGGCGACCGGAAACGGCAACAAAAAGGGCTCCAGGATTGGAGCCGGAGCGGGAACCCGCCAAAGCACGGCGAACCGGAGCCGGCAGCAAAACGGCAAAGCGGAACCGGTAAACAAAAAAGCGGCCCGGCCCTGTCGTTTCCAGGGCCCGCTAAGGGCCCGGAGGACATCAACGACCTGGCGAGAGCACCGCCGCCCTCGGGCGGACTTCGAGGAGCCCTCCGTGCAGGGGCCCCTTGCCCGCTGTCGGGGCGCGACGTTCGCTCGAGCGCGGGCCCCCGCCGTGCAGCCCGGGGCGGGCCAGCCGGCCGTGAGGAGGCCCGGCCTGCCTGCCTCCGAGCCTCTCCTCCTCCTCCCTGATCCTCCTCCTCCTGCCTCCTCCTCCTCGCTCCTCCTCCCCCCTCCTCCTCACTCCTCCCCTCCTCATGCTCGCTCCCTCCTCGTCCTCCGACCCTCCTCCTCCTCCTCCTCCTCCTCTTCCTCCTCCTCCTCCATCCGCCCCTCCTCCTCCCCTCCTCCTCCTCCTCCTCCCCTCTTGCTCCTCCCCTCCTCCTCCTCCTCCTCCACCTCCTACTCCTCCTCCTCCTCCTCCTCCCTCCTCCTAAATCCTCCAGCTCCTGCTCATCCTCACCCTCCTCTTCCTCCTCCCTGCCGCCTCCTCCCCTCCTCCTCCTCCTCCTCCTCCTCCTCCCGAGCATGGCTCCTCCTCCTCCTCCTCCACCTCCTTACCTCTCCTCCTGCTCGCCTCTCCTCCTCCTTCCACCGTCCTACCTGCCCTCCTCCGCCTCCTCCATCCTCCTCCGTCCTCCCCTCGCTCCTCCTCCTCCTCCTCCTTCTCCTCCTCCTCCTCCTCCTCCGCCTCCTCCCCACCCGCACATCGGGCGGCCAAGAGGGTGCTGGCGGCCAAGAGGGGGGGGGGGGCGGGGCACAAATCGTGGCCGGCGGCATGTGCGCGGCCCAGGGGGGGGGGTGGGGGGGGGCAGGGACGCAAGGACAGAAGAGGAGAAAAAAAAAAAGCAAAAGAAAGGAAAAGGAAAAGAGAAGGGGCGCCACGGAATCTGGGGAACCATCATGGCCCCCGCTATGAGGAGGCGCCACGGAATCTGGGGAACCATCATGGCCCCCGCTATGATACCCCACCCCCCTAGTCATCAGCCCCCTCTTTGCCGCCCCCGACCACAACAGCCCCGAGGAAACTTCAGGGACGGGCACGATGATGGGCCAGAAAAGAAGCCCTAACTCTTTGGGAGTGGACCCAAGTTTGGAGGGCCAAAACATTAGGGATAGGGAGTCTTTTTCTGCAGATGTGTCAGACCAAACCGCCCAGATGTATGATCCCTAGTGCAAAGACGGGGACCTCAGTGAGGCCACACCTTGCTCGTGTTATGAGGCTTAGGAGTTCTTTTGTGCTCGATGACACGATGGCCCCGGCATGGCCGCAAGACAAGCCAAGAGGCACCCAAGAGGCCGCTGAGATGCACGGCAGAGTTATTTCCCTGAGACGATGTTGACGTGCTCGAGTTCTTAGTCATCAGAGCCTCCAGGACGGCCAGGAGGCCCCAAATATCCCACTGGGATGACCCAAAAGGCGCTCAAAAGGTCCCAAAGAGGGGCTCAAGATGGCCCGAGAGATGCCCGGAACAGCTCAAGAGTGCCCCAAGCGGCCCCAAGAGGATGTATCTGCACGTCTGGGTACGAGCGTGTGTGTTTGATGCGTGCGTACGAACCCGCTCTTCGATAATATCTGCAAGTGCGAGCACGGAGGCAAATCCAGAGAACATGATCACTTGCGCCCATTGTGTGCCCAAGCGACTACGAAGACGACGATGAAAGAAAACAGTTGCCTCCTCCTCCGTCAATGAATCTGGATCGTGCTTCTTCGCTCCGAGTCCTCCCCGTCGCATGCCATTGAAGCCGCACGAATGTGACTTGCACTCGGGCATGCCAACCCGAGGTAAACAGCGGATGTCAACTCATGAGTGTTTCTTGCTAGGCGCATTTGCCCTTTAGCAGTCTAGACACACCCATGCATGTAGGAACACATGCACATGGGATACAGAAGCCGCAAAGTATGCCCAATCGCACAAGACATGCTGAATGCCCCCCGACATTTACAGCGTGAGGGGTGCAATATCAAGCGATCTGAAGTTCACTACGAGGCCACAGACTTGAGAAGTGCTAGACGAACACCACACGCACGATACAATTCTGCGACAGAGAAGCAACGACGGCAATCGGCAGACACTGAGAAATTATGGTCCTGTGAGCCACGTTCAAGCTCCAGCATCATGATCGTTTTCAGGGCGTGTTTGACCACATTCGCAGATGCGCCTAGAATGTACATCCGCCACCGTGCCCTCAGCACGTAGCGGAGAGCCCGACGCGGCTCGTGCACCCCCGATGGGGTAAGGTGCACGGGTGTGAGAGCCCGGGACGCTGGTTTCTCAAGGATTCCAGGGGGATGTCCGCGGTGTGTCACGTGCGCCCCTGGGAGGCTTACATAGCGGCCCAACAGGGGCCCAAGAAGCGCCCAAAGGGCCCAAGCTGTCGCCAAGCCGGCCACGGAGTGCCCAAGGAACACCCAAGATGACCCCACGACGGCACATGAGGCCCCCAGGAGGCCCCAAGAGCGGTCCGAGAGGATTCCCCAGGGGGCCACAGATGCAAACATCGTTGATTCACAGTCGGTTCTTCATTGCTTTGGGGACTCTCGCCTTCTCAAGATTCCAAAGCTTCAAGGCGGCACAAGAGGCCCCCAAGACCGCCCCGAGCTGGCCCAAGACGCCCCAAGAGGGCCCAACACGGCCCAAGAGGTGCTCAAGACTAGCCACTAGGTGTTCCATCCTCTTCCTCCTCCTCCTCCTCCCTCCCTCCTCCTCCTCCTCTCCTCCTCCTCCCCCTCCTCCTCCTCCTCCTCCCCCTCCTCCCCCCTCTCCCTTCCCTCGCCCTCCACCACATCCTCCTCCACCTCAACCTCCACTCCCCCTCCTCCTCCTCCTCCTCCTCGTCTTCCCCCCTTCCTCCTCCTCAACCTCCTCCTCCTCCTCCTCCCTCCTCCCGCCTCCTCTCCTCCTCCTCCTCCTCCTCCTCCTCCTCCTCCTCTCCTCCTCCCTCCTCTTCCTCCTCCTCCTCCTCCTGAAAGTCTCCTCCTCCTCCTCCTCCTCCTCCTCCACCTCCTCCTCCCCCCTCCTCCTCCTCCTCCTCCTCGTCGTCGTCCGTCGTCCTCGTCGTCCTCGTCGTCCTCGTCGTCCTCGTCGTCCTCGTCGTCCTCGCGTCCTCGTCGTCCTCGTCGTCCTCGTCGTCCTCGTCCCCTTCCCTCGTATCCACCTCTTCCTCCTCCACCTCCTCCTCCTCCTGCTCGCCCTCCTCCTCCCCCTCCTCATCCTCCTCCTCCTCCTTCTCATCCTCCTCCTCCTCTCCTCCTCCTCCTCCTGTTTCCTCCTCCTGCTCCTCCTCCCTCCTCCTTCTCCTCCTCCTCCCCCTCCCCCTCCTCCTCCTCCTCCGCCTCCTCCTCCTCCTCCCCGCCTCCCCCTCTCTCCTCCTCCTCCTCCTCCTCCTCCTCCTGTTCCTCCTCCTCCTCCTCCTCCTCCTCCTCCTGTTCCTCCTCCAAGACTGCAAGAGGAGGAACACGAACCAACAATTCGAGCCTTCCGCCTCAAGAAGAGACACCCAGGAGGACCCAAGAGGCCGCGAAGAGGCCCCAAGAAAGCCCTCACGAGCCCCCCCCCAGGAGGCCCAAAAGAGGCCTCCAGAGGCCCCGAAACGGCCCCCAAGAGGCCGCAAAGCTGCCTCCTGGAGGCTCCCGAAAGGGCCCCCCACGATGCCTAAACGAACTTACAAGAGGCCCTTGGCCCACAACCGCTGGAGGCACGGTGGCGGGATAGGCCGAAGGCCTGTCGATCCGCGGCCCCCTGCGGGGCTTGCCACTGGGGCGCACGGCGTGCCAAACGTCTGCCAAGCTGTCCGTTCTTCTCTGAAACTCCGCCCGCCGGCCGGCCGGAAAGCTCCCGAATGTCGGCACCGGTTGGCCTCATCGGCTCCAAGACAGCCAGGATGGTCCAAGATGCTCTCCAAGATGCCTCCAAGACGGCCAAGATGACCACAGGAGAGCCCAAGAAAGCCCAACGATGGCCTCCAAGACGGTCCCGAGATGCCTCCAAGACGGCCAAGGTGGCCCAAGAGACCCCAAGATGGCCCAAGAAGCGCACAAGAGGCCCCTAAGACAGCCCAAGAGGCCTCCAGGAGGCCCTTCAGGACTGCCCGAAGAGCCCAACATCATAGATTGCCATTCAGTTGTTTGCTCGTGTTGGCATTTGCTTCAAAACGGCTTTCTCACGGCCCAAAGGACTCCCACGATTGCCCCAAGATCGCCCAACAGGCCTCCAAGATGGCCCCAGGATGGCCCAAGAGGCTCCCAAGACGGCGCTCAAAGGGCCCTAAGACGACCCAAGAGGCCTCCAAGACGCCCAATAAGACCTTCAAGACGACCCTGAAGGGCCCCAAGAGAGCCCCAAGACGGCCCAAAGAGCGCCTCAAGACGGCTTCAGACAGCGTCAGACGGGCCAGGAACGCCGTAAGACGGCCAAAGAAGCTCCCAAGAAGCACCCAGAGGCTCCCACGAGGCCCAAGGAGGTCTCCAAGAAGCCTCGTATAGGCGCCCAGGGAAGCCCCCAGGAGTCCCAAGAGTGCCTCAAAAGGATCCCGAGAGGTCTCCTCCTCCTCCTCCTCCTCCTCCTACTCCCGTGTCCACCTTCTCATCAGTTTCCTCTTCCCCCCACACGTGTTCCCCGAAGGGTTTCCACAATAGCTCGGGGAACACACAGTCCGATAGCTTGGCCGAGCTCCAGCCACAACGTTCGGCCATGTAGGCGTAGCACTAAAAGGCATGGGGCGGCGGTATTCGCCGTAGGCGCCTTCGATATACAAGCAGACCGATACATACAAACATATATACATACAAGCATACATACATACATATGGGCAGACCGACAGACAGACAGGCCTACATGAATGCATGCGACAATACACACGTCCATCCATCCATACATACGTACACACATACATGCATGCATGCAAACGTCCACGCACATGCAATCATACGCATACACACATGCATGCATACGCACGCACACACTTACATACATTTATACGTACACACAAACGTACATACATACATACATACAAGTATACATACGCATCGATGTGCATGCATGCATACATACGTACACATGCGCATGCAACCGTGCATGCACACCTATACGCATGCATACACGCATACGTACGTGTCCGCGGACATGTATACACGCATGCATGCGCACATTCATGTATACAAAAAGACATACATACAAGCAGACACGCACACCCATACACGCATACACATATACACGCGCGCATACATATATACAGCCGTGCACACATATACGCACATACAAGCATACATGCATACATACATGCATATAGACATACACACATATATAGCATTCATGCACACACCTACACATACATACATGCATGCATGCATGCACACATGCACGTATGCACGCATACATACAGAGTGCACTATTAACCCGCACACCAAAGTACACATACATACATATATACATGCATGCATGACAGCATGCACGCATACATACATACATACATGCATACATACATACATACACACATACCTTCACCCATGCATACATGCACACGTACGTACACACATCCACGCATACATGCACACATGCATGCATACATGCATGCACATATACAACCAAAGCACACATACATGCATACAGGCAGGCCGACAGACAGACAGACATACACCGATATACAGACATACATACATACAACACGATACAGAGATCGCGTGCGAACAGCATTCCCAGAAATGAGCGACGCATCTTCGAACGCCAGGGCTGACCGATCTGTCAGCACAAACACTGCTGCAGAGAAACTCTGTCAAGAGTGCGCACAAACAGACGGGAGCATCAACATTAACATTAGTGGGTGCGAGCTGTACGGTGAGACGCAGTGCTAAATATCCACAAACCTTCATCTCCCAACCACGATTTCAAACACACACTGTCGATTGCCATGGCTTCGCGTGCGTCACGGGAGCTGCTCCAACCCCTCGCGTCCCAACTTCTCCAATCTGGCGTACATGGACGGCTCGAAGTGTCTCTTGCCATTCTTGTCCTCCCGCCCAAACTTTCTAATAGTCAGTATTCCGTGCATTCTCCTCGGGCAACACTTGACATGGGCGATCGATGCGCCCTCGACGAATCTGGACAGGACGCTTCTCACAATAACAGCTGGCCCCCTCCAGCGTTTGGGCTACCCGCGGGCTCGACGTCCCAGATTAACTGCGCTGCCGTAACAGAACAGCCCGCTGCGCCCTGTGAGCCTGCCCGCTCCACTGCGTCGGCGCTCCCACAGCTCCGTGGCAATGACATGCAGCCATCTCGCATCGGCAAGGTCAACATCACGCCCGGTGGGATGCCGAAAACCGCGTTGCGTTCTCCTTCCAAGCTTGGATCTCAGACGACACAATTCTGGACAGATGCTGCGGTGGGACGAAGATGAGAGCCCGGAGTCTGACATGCCAGAACTTTGACCCCGCTGCCCATGGAGGATGTGCCGCTGGAGAGGCCCTGATGCGCGGTGGTCCATTCAGGCGATCGCGTGGATCAGCGACGGGTCCCGCTTCCATGGGAAATCGCGGATTGCCGCCGCCGAACGAGGCGGGACCGGCCGCATTTTGGGGGGAGGGCGCCGCCCCCGATCCATGGATTTGGCGACCGCGCGCCAAATCCATGGATCGCCAATCCATGTTGGCGCCCCGAAGAGCTCCGGGAGGAGTGGGGGACCCGCTCGGCGCGAGTCGGCACGGGGGTCCGCCTCCGCCCGTCCGCTCGCCCGCAGGAGCCGCGGACGGAGCCCACGCCTCCTCCTCGCTCCTCGAAACGCCACGAGCTGTTGTGACTGCGCAACGGAGGAGGAGGAGGAGGAGGAGGAGGAGGAGGAGGAGGAGGAGGAGGAGGAGGAGGATGGAGGATGGAGGAGGAGGAGGATGGAGGATGGAGGCGCGTTCTGGGATGCTGCAGTGCATCACCTAACTGGCAAGCTGCAGCTGTCTCGCCGGAGCCCCTTCGTCACCGTCGACGGCCGCTCCGTGCAGACACACTTCCACCCTCCGCCCAGGCGTGGCCGCTCGACGCTCGGCCACAATACCTGCTCATGACTGGCATGCGCGAGCAATCGGTCAACATATCGGTTCGCATGTCGGCCACACAATATCGGTTCGCATGTCTGCCACACAATATCGGTTCGCAATCTTTCAGAATATCGGTCAAAATATCGGTTCGCAATCGGTCATCAAAATATCGGACGGGGCAAAGCCAAAGTCGCAGGGCATCCTTTGGGCATAGTCTATTCCACAGGCCCTTTGCCGATGATGTGTTCTCGTGGTACCTGCAATGGCGAAGGCTACACTGGCCTGAACACATCCGCTCGTGTAAAACGTAACGCCACAACATACGGATCATCGATCTACCGTGCAACACACAAGCAATGTACAAACCGGCGCGTCAGCATCAGCCTGCAACTACTCATGAGTCGTGGGAAGGCAGGACCTGCATCATCATAACCGTGCACGCCCTGAATAGCTGCTCCCTTGCACAACACGCCAGGCACGCAAAGTCTGCAAGGGGGATATGGCTGGCCGAGCGCCTGCCCATGTCCAGGGAACCGGGGCAGATGGCGTGCAACGTGGAGCCGAGAGGCTGCCAGACAGGATCGACTCTCCGAGGCTGGGGCACCAGCGGGTGTCGATGGCAGCTGCGAAGAGGTTGTGCGCCGCGGTGATGGCGTGGATGTCGCCCGTCATGTGCAGGTTGAACTCCTGGCAGATGTCACGAGCGGAGGCAGATTTGGACGCCCGAAATGGGTACCGAAAAAATGGGCACAATGCCCAACAGCAAATGTTGTCCCAAACCAACAGCGGCCGCTGTTGGGCAGGCGGCCTCCTGTCACAGCTGTCTCGAATGGACACAGGCCGCGGCGGCGTGGACAGCGAGCCCTGTTCAAAATGAACAAGATCCGCTGTTGGGCATTGTACCCATTCTTTCAGTACCCATCTCGTGCGTGCAGAGCAGAGGAGGACGCCTGGACGACGTCGAACCCGGCCTCACGCGGCACCCAGACTGCCCAGAGACCCGACGTCGTGACCTGTTGCATAATTACGGGGCCCCGGAAGCCTCGACCCACTCCCCAAGACCGGCTCTTCATCCCGAGTCGTTTTTTGACGGTCCCGGGGCACGGCGAGGACCGCAAGAGGCCGAACAATGCGAGAACCTCCGTCTCGTGTTCACGATACGTGGGATCTCTGGGTAGCGAAAAGTCGAAGAAGGCTTCTGGAAATGTCCGCGACTGCGCAGCTGTTCGTGGAGGCCGCCGCGGCTTCGGTGGCTCGCAGCTCCACGCCGCCGCGCCGGACTGCCGTGCTGGCCTCCAGCGCAGGACGCACACGTGGACAGGACACCTATTGGCTTATGTCGGGCGTGTCCCCCTACAGGGGGATTCTCGACGAAAAATAAAAAATACCCCGAAAATGCGCCAAGAAGGCCAAAACATATTCAAAAAATAATCCCCAGACTATTTTTGGATTACTTTTTGACTATTTTGGGGGTGTTTTTTTTTTTTTTGTTTTGTTTTTTTTTGTTTTTTATTATTTTTGTTTTCATTTTTCGTGGAAAATCCCCCTGTAGGGGGACAGGCCCGACTGAAACCTAGGCCAGCCGGTGGAACTCTGCGCCTCGTGCCGCACAAGTCGGCGGCGAGCGAGGGAGGGGAGTGACGACGAGGAGGAGGCCTTCTCGGAAGGCGGCGGGACTTCTCGGAAGCCCCCGCGCCTGCTGAGAAGCTCCCTGTGTCCTCGGGGATGGCTCAGAGGACCTCTCAGGAGGCCAGGGGGGCTTCCGGGCCTGGCGAGAAGGCCCGCCCCCTTTCTCACTTCCCCCCCCCGCGCCTGCTGAGAAGCTCCCTGTGTCCTCGGGGATGGCTCAGAGGACCTCTCAGGAGGCCAGGGGGCTTCCGAGCCTGGCGAGAAGGCCCGCCCCCTTTCTCACTTCCC